ACAAATTTTTAAAAAATAAAATTACCCCCTAACATAACTGACGTATTCTTCCTGGGTTTGTTGCTATGCTTTAGGGCTTCTCGCACCACTAGCTCTCCATGTAAGCTTTAGTTAGCAGTAAGGGCTACTACAGTAATGACTACGCACGCGAATGATCTTACAATACAGTGAGAATCGAAATTGAGCATTTAGGATATCCCGACATACTTTCTTTGCATGAGGAGGGATCAAATGTTTAAATAATGCCGTCTGTATTTTTATTACAAAATTGGGTGCAAATATTTAAAACAACTTCAACTAACCATACAAGAACCCATCCACACATCGATAGCCTTCATGTAGGATACTGAAAGGGCAAACATCAGTGTAACGTATGAGTTATAAATTTTAACATTTCCCTCAGCGCCTTTTACACAGCCTGCATATGATTTCTCTAGCGTTACATTAAACAATGAGTTAGCAGCTTCGTTAAATGAGGCATTACGAACCTTCTGGCAAAGCGAGTTTTACTGCATTCGCTTGCGTGGAGATGGTTAGCAACGTTGTAATGCTTAACGTCACTCGGGCTGGAGCTGAGTCAACATCGAGCCAAAAACTGAACCTAAATTTCGATAATGACTCGCTTAACAGAATTTATGGAACACATGTTGTTACGTCATGTTCTTACCATGATATGACGACAATTAATGCTGTGGGCAGATAAGTTTGCATCACATGATGCATCATTTCTCTTTCCACATAGAATACTGCCATCATGCAACTCCACACACCTCAAATAGACATTTTTTACTTGAAAAGGTTTTCCTGTTTTTTTCTGCCATATTAAGCCAGGAATGCACTAATAGTGACATTTTCCCGCTGATTTTCAAGGCTAACTTCAAAACAACTCGCCGGTGGCATATGTTCCATTACAGTAAGCTGTGCGGATGTCCTTGAGTTGCATGTCAGGCATGGTAATTTCTCGATTTCGATCAATAGCAGGAGATCCATCTTCTGCCACTGACCAAACCAGCCGCAGAACTGATTCAGGGTATGCATCTGAAGTTGTGTGCAGCATAGACCATTACTACCAATTACTCCCATAAGATTTAATAAGGTTACTCACAAGATAATACCCTAAGAGGACAATGCTGTGAATCAAGCGGATATTTCCATAAATCCATGTTACATGAAACAACCTAAAAGAACATCCATTTTCAAAAGACATCCGATTATTGATATAAGACAAAGATGCTTACAATTGAAATTCTGGCATCATACCATACCCGTCCATTTGGATAGACCCATACAAGAAAATTGTCATCTGTTATTTCCTAAATAAATTTCATGACGTGGCGTATTCTGCAAATTTTGAGGAGTGGCAAGCACTATGCAATTTCTTTATTCACCAAATTTCACAATTAGAAAATTTGCCTTATTTTGCTCAAAAAAAAAACTCAAGCTAGAATGGAAGCGCATTAGTAGCATCGCTCTATCTGTACTTCTTAACACAAAGCCTTTACCATATCAATTCCAGTCTTAAGATATTAATGAGTTTTTTCCCGATACCTTGCTCCCATATAAATTAACTGTCAGTAGGGCATAGTAGCTGTTCATCGCAGATTGTTCAGATTATCCTTTGAAGGCTTCCATTTCCCAAGCTCTGACAAAGACGAATGCGGCGAAAATTTTCAATCAGCCGAGAAACGACAAGCAGAAGTTTGGTCAACAATTGTGCAAACTGTTCTAATGTTTTGTTGCTATTTTTTATTTTATAGACTTAAAAATTTTTTGTCAAAAGTGGAGCTAAGACAAAAACAAAACAATCTCAATAAGCTTACCTGAAAAGAAGCTGATTTCGCATTGGCAAAGTATACATCTGGATGCCACATCTCTCCAAACACTTTTTTATCTTTCACCAAAATTGGTGAACTGTTGTTATGCGATAGTCGATGATCATACCACTCCTACAGATTACAGAAATAAGGATAAAAGACAGAGTCTAATATAACAATAAGGCATCAACCTGCTGAAAATACATATCTAAGTGGTAGTCCATAGTCTGCGCACTAAA